AAAAAAAAGGAACTACTATGCAGCCTATGGGTAGACCCTAAACCCTAAACGTCGAACCGAGAGGGCCCAAGTAATAGTATAGGTATAGTTCACTGGATATGGGCAGTTCTCTACATCAGGGTCCCTGTTTGGGTCCCAAATATAGTACGGCACCGTTATAAAAAAAGAACCCTTTTCAAAAAGGACCCTAATTTAGAGAATTACCCATATGCATATACTGCTTGGGCCCCAAATACCGACTAAGTGCCTACTATAATGGTGTTTGGACCCTTTGGGAACTCTGTTGCAGGACCTGTCAAAAGGTCCGGAGATGCATGGCCGACGCGTCCATGGTCCCAAGTGTTTGAGCTTGGTGCTCCCCTGGCGCCTTTGGCGGCGTTTAAGGGAGGGCTTGAGATATACCCTGTACCCTCAAGCGTACAGCCTTACCCTAAGCTTCCTAAACTGGCAGGGGTGTACAGTTTAGGGTTTAGGTTTTGCGGTTTAAGGAAGGGCTTTGTACATGCGACAGGTTCGCCAACCAGCTTGAACCCTAAACCCCAAAAAGCCCAACTCCATGGAATGACCTTGCATCTCCTTAGGCATGTCTTTGGCATTCGGTTGTGTTTAAGTTTATGGCTGAGGCTTGGGCAGTACAGCTACAAATCAGGTATGTGATGCAGATACATCTTCGTGTCCTAACGGCCAAAGCCCCATGAACCTTCAGGTACTATAGTGACTGTAGGGCAATGAGGCCAAATCAGACATGCGACTTAAGAGGCATGGTTCCACACATGCAAACATTGCTTCCAGCTCCTCGAATCACGAGCTCCGAGCCTAGGGTATATTCGACCCTAAACCCTAAACTTAGGCCCTAAACCCTAAACCCGATGCACTTCGGCGCGAAGCTAGCACGAAGAAGCCCTGCAGTGGGCGGTTCGGGAAGTGACATTGTCGTCCGACTCTGATGCGGACGTTTGTCTCCTCCTCCGGTGGATCCTCCAGAATACAAGGGCATCCGATCGAAAAGCCCTCAACCCTAAACCCTAAACTCCAGTCTGGTGATTCAGGCTTGAAAGCTTCAAGGTGCAGAATTCCTGGAACAAGTCGCTGATTTAAGGCCGTGTCTTAAATAGGTTGCAACGTTCTTTTCCGCCTGTAGGGTTGAGGGTTTAGGGTTTAGGGTTGTGTAGATCTGCATCGGAAACACAGCAGTTCCGAGGCGCGCAAGCAAGCCATACGCCATACACCCCAAGCTACGAAAACCCTGAATCCTAAACCCTGGACCGATTCTTGCGCTCATTGCCCCAGGCGACATTCCTGAACCCCGAACCCCCAAATGCTGGACTACACGGGAGCCATAGGCCCTATCAGCACTCACCTCAGGCACCTGGACCTGTAGTAGACCTTAAGTAACAGAGGTCTTAACCCCTCTCGCAAGATCGGTGATGATCAGAAAGTTCTGGGGTTTAACCCTTCATACGAAAGGCTTTCAGGATGCAGAGGTACACCGTAAATCCCCAAACCCCCTAAACCCCCTAAACCCTAAAACCCTATAAACCCTAAAGCCCTAAACTCCTAAACCCTAAAACCCTAACCCCTAAGCCCTAAACTCCTAAACCCTAAACCCAGGCTGGTGACGGTCCTGGCAAGGCCCTCCGGGCAGCGATTTTTTTTTTTTTTGCGGGGCTTTCGGGCTTTGAGGGCACGGACCTTCCAATAGTCCCTGAATTTAGGAGTGTACCTAAAGTCATGTTAGGGAGCCTACTATAATTTAAGGTATCTTCCTTAATTCCCTTATAGAAACCCTTAAAGAGAGCCTTATAGATCCCTTTAAGGAACCCTATAATTTAAGGTATCTTCCCGTAAGTAAGGGATATTGGAAGGCTTAGGGTCTAGAGACCTTTAGTCTTCAGTTTTTGGGTTTAGGGTTTAGGATTTAGGGGTTTAAGGGTTTAGGGTTTTAGGGGTTTTAGGGTTTAGGGTTTAGGGCATGTACTTGCTAGTTTAAGGGTTGCACAATCAAAACTCCTACTGTAAAGGGCTCCGTGCCTACGGTCTGATACGGTTTGCAAGTACAGGAAAGCCCCCAATCATAAGGCAACATCATGCTCAGGCGTCCTCCATCTTTTATGATGTGGGTCTGGGCGCCAAGACGGGCAAAGCCATTTACAGTATCCCATAAAAGGCCACCTTAGAGCAAGGCCAATTTCCGATCCGCACCCGCAGAGAAGTGCCTCAAGCCTCAAGCCACCAGATTCAGCAATACCCCAACCCAAATCAAGCTGATAAACTCCACAAGCTTGCATTCTCTAGGACATTTTCAGGTGGGTAGTTACCGGTATAGGAGCCTTATAGAAGGTCTATATTCCTTATAGAAGCAAGCTGATAAACTCCACAAGCTTGCATTCTCTAGGACATTTTCAGGTGGGTAGTTACCGGTATAGGAGCCTTATAGAAGGTCTATATTCCTTATAGAAGCCTCATAGAAGCCCTTTATACCCAAACTCCCCACCTGTAGTTTCCTTTAACATTCGGGTTAAGTTAGAGCCTTTCGGCTTTCTGTCTCTGTCTCATGTGTGGGTGTGTGTGTGTGTGATCGATGTCGAGCGTGACAAAAAAAAACGTGGCGGCATTTTGCATGGTTTCCGTTGCTCTTAAAATGCTCAGCTCAACGTGAAAAGTGGCCTACACCTCCGAACTCCGAACCCTTTCGAAGCCTGAAGAAGCCTTTGGGGTTTAGGGTCTAGAGTCTAGAGGTTTTGAACATGGTACTTGGAGAGCATAGACTAGAACACGTTCATCACGCCCCAAAGCACCTTCATAAGACCCTTAAGAGTGCCCTTCGAAGGAACCTGAAGGGTGCACATGGACCTTTTGGGTTTAGGGTTTAGGGTTTTAGGGTTTAGGGTTTTAGGGTTTAGGGTTTAGGGCTTAGGGTTTAGGGTTTAGGGTTTAACCCTTGCAATGTCTGCACCGCAGCTGATCGACAAAGCGTAAACCAACAGGCTCTGATGACATAAGGCCCCCTGCATGGCATACTCTATAAGCCCATCTCAACCCCTAAACCCTAAACCCTAAACCCTAACCATAAAAGTTCAGGTATCCTTCAACCTTAAACGCTAAAGGACTTGAAGAAGTCTCATCCCTAAAGCCTCATCCCTAAAGAAGTCTAAACGCTAAACTCCTCACCCTAAACCCTAAACCCTAAACCCTTACCTTTAGCATCAAAATATGTAGGGTCTTTGGGCCCAAGAGCCTTAAAATACAAGTCCTTTGAGGGTAATTAAGGGTTATTGAAAAAGCCTCAAGAAGACCAGGCAGACACTGGAAGCCGCAGACGAGCTCGTGGACGAGCCGAGGCATCTGGTGCTTCGGGAAACTTGGCCACCTTCTGTGGGGGCGGGGAGGGGGTCAAAGGGTTTAGGGTTTTAGGGAACCCTATTGTTTGGTATGTTTTGGATTTTATATGGGTTCTTTTCAGGGCTCCCTTTGAGGATCCCTTTGTGGGCTCTTTTCAGGGCTCCCTTTAAGGACCCCGTTATGGGTTCATTTAAGGGCCCCCTTCCTTTAAGGGTTCCCTTTAAGGATCCCTTTATGGGCACCTATTATGTGCCGTGGTGGATCATCCTGCGCCCCAGGCCCTGGGGCCTCATACGGGCCCTGCTCACCCTGAGCCTGAACATCCCGTTTAGTGTTGGTTTGGTTAGGGTTTAGGGTTTAAGGGGGTTTAGGGTTTAGGGGGGTGTATATAGGGTTTCGGGTTTGGGGTTTAGGGTTTAGTCGGTTTAGTGTTCAGGGTTCGACCCACCTGGACCCTGTAAAACTTACATCATGTAAGGACTTGCATAAAGAAGCCAGAATAAGAATCCCTGAAAAAGTAGGTCACTTAGCTTCCAGGCAATACCTGAACTGGGAAATCCACTCCTGTAGCAAACTTATGACTATTTCGGGCGGTGGTTGGGGCCAGGTGTTGTTTCATCCCCCTGCTCCGGTCCCTACATCAGACACATCTTGCTGATTCTTGCTGCATTTGAGATGTAATGTTTTTGGGGTTAGCACGTCTTTGTGCGCCCTAATCCCAAAGTCCAGCCATGAAGTCGTATAAGAGGAACGAAGAAGTAAATAGTAAGCAGAAGCTTGTTGCAGCCTTTACGAAGCTCTTCTGAAGCCTTTGAAATCGGTGTGCGTGCGTGCTTGCGTGCATATATATATATACATACATACATACATACATACATACATACATACATACATATATAATATGTCATGTATATTAAACCATGAAGCTTAGGACGAAGCGGGCCAACCGCTGGCGAACACGGGCACGGAGGATCCACTGGTCTGTGAGGATACGGAGGTTCCCCGACTGCAAAAGGGTTCAGGTAGGTAGGGGGTAGGGTTTAGGGTTTAGGGTTTAGGGCTTAGGGGCTTTTAGGGTTTAGGGTTTCGGTGTTAGGTTTTTGGGGGGTTAGGGTTGAGGGGCTTAGGCTGAGGCTTTGGGGTTTGGGGTTTTGGGTTAGGGCTAACGGTTTCGGGTTTCCTTGTGGTTTCAGGGTTTAGGGTTTTGGGAGTGTCGAGTGATTGAGTAGTTGTCTTTGTGGACCACCAGCCATACCACGAAACCTTTTCGTCCCAGGATGGCAACCGCCGGGTACCGTGCTTCGACTTTTCAACGGTGGCTCGGTGTTGCATTTAGGGTTTAGGATGGTTTCTCAGTTTGTTGTGCAGTTGAGGGCTTTAAAGAATCTACTGCCGGTCTTCTTAGTTTTGCGCGATGGGCTTGTAAAGCATCGTGGTTTCATGATTTGGTTTGGGTTCAGGAATGTTCAGGAAGGAGTCCAAGTTTAGACATTCAGTCTGGCCGGTCTGGGATTTGGGGTACCTCTAGACCTAAGAAACAAGCACTCGAATTGCTTCTTTTCCAGCTTGAGAGGAAGCCAACCCACATACCGGAATGTTTGAACATATTCATTGGCGGGGATGTTGGCCGAAGGGTGCATGTGTATATATATATATATATAATATGTATATATATATATTTGTTTATTTATGCATATGTGTATACATACACAAATACCTTTTTACTTGTCTGTTGGTTTATTACCGTTTGTTTTCAGCTTTTGTTTTCTGAGACCAGGACCCTTGGTACTCCCACATACCTCCGTGCGGATGCCTGGGGCCCGACATGCAAACATGCACACCCATAAGGCCGTATACATCATATATATATATATTATATGTATGTATGTATGTA